TGTTGAGCTCTTTCTTTCCTCAATATGGTGCGTATTTAGGAGCGATTTTATTTTATTATGGACGGTACTTGCCGCGCGATAAATGCTCTTGTTCGACTTTGAAAGTGGTGAAATTGATATACCCCTGGTATAAAATATACACGCGCAAACGCTCACTTGTTAGCTTTGTTGCCTTATTTGTACAACGTTCTGTGGATGGATTTTTTTTTATTGGAAGAGTAATTTTCATCGTAGGTGCACGCACCATTCCACCAAGCAGATAATACAAGAAGAAAAATAAGAAAAAAGAGAATCCCTAACATTTACCGGTTTTACATTGATGCTCGTTCGTATAAACTGCGTACATGCTTATAAAATTGTTGATTTGTCATGTAGTTCAGCATCAAAGTCAATTTTATGGGATTCATTCTTATTTTATTTAAGCGCCCTACGCGCTTTGTTCATGTATGCGTAATTTTTCCGTTTTTGCTTTAACTGTTTTCGTTCTACATCATTTTCCCTCGTCGCTTGGTTCGGTGCTCTCTTTTTTCCCCGTCCATTTAACAAGCATGCTTTTCGTCGTCGTCGTCGGATCAGTACAACTCGGTCGGAGATGACATGGTATTATAAACGCACGCGGGTCCTTTTAAAGGTTTTGTCGATTTTAGCATTTTTATGGCTGTTTTGTGGAATTGAGCATTTACGCTTTGCATTTCTCTATTTCTTTTGTCGGAGCAACTATCTCGTTTCGACCTCAGCATGACTGTCACACTTCTTTTTTTTTATTTTATTCTTTTTACCAGTTATTGTTTGTGTTTGGAACACATAAATTTAAATAAATTAGATATATTTTCCGTATGTTAGCAATAATTCGCATTTTAGATGATATAACGTTATTGGAGCGATGAGATGCACAGTGAAAATACAACCATGCCACTGACTATATGCACCAGCTATATTTTATGATTCACTTTTATCAAAATACTGACAAGAGGGAGAGAAAAGGAGAGAGAGAGGGAGATGTAGAGAGGAAGAGAAAATATGAGTTGAACATAAAACAATGTAAGTGCCAACGCGCTATGACAAGAGAGAAATGCGCGAAAATTATAATCAAATTAAAATCAATTCCCTAAGTGAAACGTACGCACATAACAAAGGCAACCGAAAAAAAACATTATATACATAATACCCTTTGAAGATTAGATCTGTATGAGGAACTTTTTTTTTACCCACATCAACGTAGGCGTGCACACAAAATGTGCATCGTAATTTATATATATCGCTTGACATAAAACAATCAATGTCGTACATTATTTGGCGCATTGTAAGTTTTATTATTGGTATTTACTTCGTTTGTTTTGTTGACATTTCAAACAAAATGATTTATATGCAAAAATTCGTAAAAATGAACAAAATTCCATGAAGAAAAACGTCTAAGATCATTTCGAAATTTGTGGGCTTTTCTAAATCCAAATCATATTCATTATTAAAGTAATATAAACTCGACTGTTGGACAACACTCAATTGGAACCACATAAAATGTAATCATAACAGTTAAAAACGATGAGTAATTGTTAATTTTATTGTTCTTTTTTTTGTATGTACAAAGAAATAAAAACGTATGTTAAACAAACTAGACAAATCGGAAATGGCTTTGCATAAAAGAAAATGTATTTTGTTTAGAAAAGTTTGGGAGCACTTTTGGTTTTTTCAACAAAAAAAATCCACCAAAAATTTCACACAAATAAAGTTACCCGAATGTTTGCATAATAAACAGTTGTGTATTTATCTTCTTTCGGCAACGATTACACACATTGTGAGGTTCTTACGATCTAAAACTCTAATGGACTGGAGTTAATTTTTTGTCCATGCGTTTCTTTTTTGCGTTTGTCGTTTCTAGTTTGGTGAAACAGAGCATATGCCAGCTATATAAATCCCTTGCATCGTCAGCGCAATAAAATGCTAATTCAAATGAATCTGTGTGAGTAAGAAGTTTGCTGTGTGTGTTTTCTTCTGTAGTTGTATCTAAATTTATGTTTTGTTAAATGAGCGAGGAAAAAACCATCTCAACATCCATAGCCATACCCATTATATGGGTGAAAACACTTTGCACAATATTGGTGTATGTCATGCATACAAACATATTCAAGATCGTTTTGGATTAAGTAGTTTCGGTATGACTATGAATAATGATATAAAATTTAATGGTGCCATGTGGCATGTGAAGTGTTAATGTTCTCGAGTGTTTGCTATTTTATTTGTCGGGTTCATCGCATATTCCCCCATATCACACAAACCAAACGACTTTACATTTTTGCTAAATAATTTTCAGCTAATTTCAGTATAGCATTAGAGAATCGTTCATGAGGCTCATTATTGATAGAGACCGGGAAAATATTTCACTCAATAAATTTTAAGTATTTTTAAATCCAGTTTGAAAACCATCAATTTATGGGCGCATTTTTATGCACTGGATTCCGTAAATAAATAGCGCGCCCCCCTTCAAGTTCAAAACGAATGCAAAAAAAAGTTTTGAAAAGTTATTCACGCTTCTTTTTTTTTCGACAAGAATCAAAAAAGTTATTTTTAAAAGAAATAAAAAGTCGGACGACCGAAATTTGTTGTCTATTAATATTTGGTGGGAAAAGAAAGGCGAGGCAAAAATACTTTTAATGTATTTTATGTACGGTGTGGATTGCACTGTGCTTTACCTACGAAATGCACTGACTTAATGACCGCCAAACACACCCAGATTTTAAATGACAGCTTAGGAGCGCGTACCGAGAACCATTACTATTAAACCGGTCTAATGGGAAAATTTAAATTTAACGCATACATTTAGCAAGAAATTCGTATCTGTGTCAGGGTTGGAAACGATCACCGCCGTTTGGTGTATATATGTTGTTTGGGTGTCTTCTCATGTCAAACACATGAATATCAAATGAGTTTATACTTTAGACATTTAAGAGTTCATCGGTGCCGTGAATCTACCACCTAATTTCAATTATTTATTACATAAAAGAAACCATCGTTAAAATGTTAAAGTTTTAAGCGCGTATTTTTTGCTTTTCTTTTTGTGGATCATTGCAGTAACCGCGACTTCAACTTAAGTGGTCGTTGTGAATAAACAACAGCACATCGACACACAAATGGCTGATTTTTCAAGTCATAACCTTTAAAATGATCGAGCTTATGATGGCACTGCTGGTTGGTATTCTTGTTGAAAAAGAAAACTTCACATTTTATGGATAGAACATTAAACTGAAAACACAATGTCGTACGAGAAACAATTATGGCTTTATTACATGCAAATGGGCTGCGGTTCATACCTTTAGCTTTTCGCCGTAATAACATTCTATACTTTATCTAACTAAATGCGAATCATGAGTTTTGATTTTATTTTGGTAGTACATTTACTTAAACAATTGCTGACAGAAGCTTCAATATCAAATCAAAAATCCATGTTCACCGTTGGTCAAATTTAAGGAAGTGCATCATATCAAATTTGAATGAATTTGACATGATTTTGAAATCACTAAAGATGGTCATTCAACACTGTTACTTATTTTGAATCAGTCAAAGGTGTCGATTGTCGATTTTATTAAGTGGCTGAGAGTCTAACTGCTTATGAATATTTTCTCGTAATGCCTTTTTATTATTATGCTTACATATTACTGTATATTGTGCTTATTCCGAACATGAATTTAATCTTTGCTTAAATTTTACCTTTTCAACAAATTTTACCTTTTAGCTTCATTTTTTGGAATTTTCCGAGCAAAAAATTGAACAAAATTAATCGCATTTATTTGTGATGCTTTCAAACTTAATTTAATTGGCTTCTATTCAAAGCATTCTGGTACCATCTTTTAAATCGGCTTAAATTGGTTACATGCGATATTAAAATTCCGAGATATCCTTAAATTTTGTACCTAATTACAATCGATGTTCTTTCATAATTCCAAAAAAATGTTTCATTCGTTATCCCTTTTATATCCATTGCTAATTTCAATTGAAATTCTTATATTTTCATTGTATAATATATCGTGGCCGAAGCGATAAGAATTGAGTAATCTCAAGAATATAGATTTTCAGAACCGGAGATTTGTGTGATTTATTTGTTTAAAAGACTCCGTTTGTTTCACCATGAATATTTAATGATTATATAGTGCATGAATGTGCGCTTTGAATTTGTGGATTTTATAGTGAAAGTTATGATGTATTCATTGAAAAGGAAGACAGCATTTGTACACGCCTTAAAATGATTTGGTTTTGAACAATTTTCTGGTTGTATTTCCTGGCCCAAACGAAATAGTAAAACAATGATATTCTTATGCATCACAATGGCAATGTATGAAAAGTTTATCCCAATGCCTTTAAGTTGTAAAAAACTTTTAAAAACGAAAGAAACACCACGAAGAAAAGTTTGTGCTCTCGTATTTTCAGAAGTTTGAAGAAGAAAAAAGAACAAATTTCTCGACGAAGAAAGAAAAAAATGTAAACAAACTGTTGACACGCTGAGAAACCATTGCATATTATGTGTGTAGAAATGTCTGTTAAACATAGAAATTCGATTGAAATTCGAAGCATTTTCAACGAAAAACATCCTTAAGTATTCATTTTGGCAACTGAACTTTCCGTATTGAAATGAAGAAGAAGGAGGAAAAAAGACAACAAATCGTGGAAAAACTTGGCGGGAGAAATCCAAAATATATTACGAGATATAATATGATTTAAAAAAAAAGAAAAATATCTTTACGTTGCTGCGCGTCAATTTTCCATGCATATTTTGGCCACACCCAACATTTTCATTTTTGTACAGAATACAACAACCCTCTTAACTATGATTCTGTACCGATGACTTTGGTTCGGTTGTTGTTGTTGTTTTTTTATTCTGGTGCCGTGCTCTCTCTTGCTCAAATTCAATTGTGTTGAAAGTACAGGGAGACGATGTTTACGAATCAGTATTCCGAAAAACAACAACCACCTCCCATTCGATGTGATGTTCGGTCGATTATCGACGCGTCGATTCGTGTTACTGTGTTGTATCGCTTGCCACATGGATTTGCGCACCATACAAACCATTCGTAGAGCGCACATAAGAGGGGTGCACCGACACTGAATCACTCTTCAACGGTTAGTTACCATTTGTCTGGTTCAAGCGATAACACTGCGTGCTTACATTTTTCGTCCAGGCACATCACGTGTTACATTATTTGGATTATCACAATATCGCGCGAATATTTGATAGTGATATTATATATTTTCGTGCATTGCCGACGCGATTTCATACATACACAATGTGAATAAATTGAATGAAAACAGTGAACCAGTGCAAATTTATAAAAATACAATTTATTGAAATAGTTGTAATATTTAATAATAATAATGAAAATCGAGCAATTTTTTTGCTAAAACCATACAAACAAAAAAATCAGTGATCAAATCGGATACTCAAGTGATATATTATAAGTTTTAACGGTATTTTACGTACCACTAAAGTGTTGGATCATCACAAAATTATGGAATTGTAGCACATGCACATTATTTAAAATGCACAAAAGCGATATAATCAGCTCAAATACCAACAATTTATACAATTCGGATAGAGTTCCACTCATACATTTGGACCAATTACCAAAAATTCTAATATGTAAGTGATACATAACTCAATAAATACACGATGATGGACTATTTATATCTTATCACATCTTAATTGATCTTGTCCTTGTTTTTTATTTTATTAAACCTTATACAGAGATCGATTTTATGTCTATCTTTTTTATTTTTTTGCAAGAAGTTTCGCAAAATTTGTAGTCGGATTACTTACAAAAGTGTGAAAAATTAGTGAAACTATATTAATATTATGTCAATATTCAGAGATGATCATTCAAATGTTAGACTCTAAAAGACAGGAGAATTTCAAAATTCAAATTAAATTAGTATAAACCATAAAGTAGTGGCTACGAGCGAATGAAGCGAGAAAATTTCCAATTGTAAAACCAACTTTGGAATAGAATAGAGGTGTTGCCCTAACAATATGGAATTTCAAAAGAGCGTTGGTCAGTTTTTAATGAATTTTTAAATTTTATTACTCACTTCATGGATTTACTTTCTTTTAGAATTCGCCTTTTTTTTTAAATAAAAAAAACTTTTCCGTAAATGTCATCAAATCTCGCTTTAAATTAGCAATCTTTTGTTTTGATTACAAAATCAATGTTAAAAATATTTCAGAGTATTGCTCAGCGCTGCTGCCATCCAGAGCATATTAAAATATCTTGCTGAGAATGCGTCGTCCGTCGCATGCGAAGGTACGTAGCAGTTTATACATCACAGCGAACAACAATACATGCATTGTTCTCTATTCAATCGTTTGAATGTTTTGAGTCACATAATCGTGAAGAGAACAACGGATTCATTCTTGTTCGCTGTGATGTATAAACTGCTACGTACGTTCGCATTCGACGGACGACGCATTCTCAGCAAGATATTTTAATATGCTGTGTATGGCAGCAGCGCTGAGCAATACTCTGAAATATTTTATTAAACATTTAAATCGGCTTGTTTTTCAAATATCACTGAAATAATTTTTTCAATATTATCAATATTCTGGACTGAATACTCATATTTAGTCGACATGTCCCTTAATTCATTTCTCGCAAAAAAATTGCTAATTTTGAACTTGATACGCGATGATTTAAAGCCCAAATCAAAGAGCTCTTCTGGCATATTCAACCCGTTACATCCATTAGAATTTGTCCTTTACTATGATTACTCAAGCTAGGATGATAAAAAAAATTCATGTCGAACATTAACTCGATAATTGGTTTTGGTGATATGGCCATTTTGTTCGATCCATTTTTGGACACATATCTGCCAAATGCTAATACTTAAATGGGGGAGCATCATAGCCCATGAATATATAATGAACCACCTGAATTCATTGACTTGAATCACATCTGTTCAATCACATGTTAATTAAAACATGGCATTTAATGAAAATGGTCGCAGGTGGATAGAACTTTTCTCGAAGTTGAATGATTCTGTGATTTGTAATTTTTGGGAAATACTTACTTAATTTTAATGAAAATGTCGATAATTCAATAAACAAATTGAACGACAAGTGTGAGATTTTAAGTTTTACTAAATGAATAAAACCATCGTAAATATAAAACTTTGCATAATACTATAAAATCATTAGAAGTACCAATGAACTATAGACGTCTATAGTGCCCACATAAAATGATTTTCGTCTATTACCACGGTCAAATCGGGAATTTTTTTTAATTTGATTTTCATTTATCAAAAATAATGGTTTTCTTTTTTATTTGAAGCAAATAAAACTTTTATGATTTTATGAGAATATTTTGAAAAATCCGTCATTTTATTGAAATTTAGTACATTTTTGAATGTTATTAAGATATAAGTTAGTTCGGTTAACTATTTTTTGTCGGAAATATGAATTTGGAATACTCTATCAACTACACTATACTTCAATTGCATATTATCTAGTAGTTATCGCAAATAATATTTGAAATATAAGGTTTACACAAATTTTATTGATGAAATAATCAAATTACAAATATAACTAAGAGAAAATGGCGCGAAATAACTACTAATTCAAATAAATGGGTGTTTTGCGCTCTATTACTGTCAACGCCGGCCAGCTTTCAAAACCAATTTAATGAATTATCGATATTAAACTAGATCAATTGAGATTTGGTAGTGTGGAGGTTTTTTTCCTATAATTTGATTTGATGTTTATCTTAAACATAGATTTATAGATAGTCCATTATTGTTCATAGTATTAAAAAACCATATTTTGATCGACTACATTTTCTAAACATTTCATTTAATTGGAAACGTTTTATTTTTACATTTTTTAATACATTCTGACCACTTTTCAAAGAAAATAGAAAAGTTGCTTCGAAATTCGATTGGATTTCATAATTCATACGTAAAAATTAACTTTTAAATTTAATTATCGGAACTTATTTTCAGGATTGCCAAAAATTTTGCTATCATTCGACTTTATTGAATCTTACATTTTCTTTTTGAAAGTGGAACTAATTTTGTATTAGATGATTTCCGATAGAATGTGAAAATCTTTAAAAAATGTTCAGAAGAACCAAATAATTCATGATTTCCCGCGTGATTCTAGTCAAATAAATTGTATTGAATCGCTAATTTCTCTGTAGAAAAATCTGCAGATATATTCTGAGTTCAATAAATAATTTATTGGGCTATTTTCGGGCATTCGTGTCAGAATTCGAAATGATAATTATAGCTTTAAAATAATAATGTGTTAAATGTTATTTATTTGAATATAGCCACGATACCAAGATGTGGTGGATGTCATGAACTCATCTTAGACCGATTTATATTGAAAGTTCTGGAACGAACGTGGCATGCAAAGTGTTTGCAATGTAGTGAATGCCATGTTCAACTGAACGAGAAATGTTTTGCCCGAAATGGATCATTATTTTGTAAAGATGATTTTTTCAAGTAAGTAAAACTCCTAAATACTGAATATTTAGCATTAAAGTCGTAGGGATTTTTTTAATTCTCTCTTTGAAAAAAGAGACGTCAATGAAAAAGAATAAATTAATATCTTAGTACAAGTCAAGCATGACTCGCTGCGATTTTCCTATGCGATTTCAAAAGACTCTAAATGAAATATAAAGGAACATATTCATATTTTGCATAAATAGAATAACATTTCTAAGCATAAGTCACAGTGAGAACATGTTTGAATTGAAAAAAAAAATGCAAAAACTTAACTCCATCAAAGATTATTTGCGAGAAAAAAAAAGATTTTTCATTTTATCATTTTTCGTTGAGTAAATGTTTTGATTTTTAAAATATACGAATATAGAAATGTGAATCGTTGCAGGCGTTATGGAACCAAATGTGCTGGATGTGACTTAGGAATACCGCCAACGCAAGTTGTGCGAAAAACCCAAGATTATGTCTATCATCTTCAGTGTTTTGCGTGCACGATTTGTTCGCGCCAGCTAAACACTGGCGATGAATTTTATTTGATGGAAGACAGAAAATTAGTGTGTAAACCCGACTACGAAACAGCTAAATCAAAAGGTACAAAACCAATTACAATCTGCAGACACACGATCAATCAACGCATCACAACAACTAATTCAGTGGCATTTTGTTCAAAACACACAGGTTTATATATAGACGGATCATTAGATGGTGATCATCCAAATAAGAGACCTCGTACAACAATTACTGCTAAACAATTAGAAACGTTAAAAACGGCATACAATAATAGTCCAAAACCAGCTCGCCATGTTCGTGAACAATTGTCACAAGATACGGGTCTAGATATGCGAGTTGTACAAGTATGGTTCCAAAATAGGTAAGCTCATTGCTTCGATGTGATATCATTGTAAAACAGAGCGCACATTCCAAACGAAACGAACATTTTTCTCATTTTATCGACGATCATTTTCTTGTTTTCCTCAAATAGACGAGCGAAAGAGAAACGCTTGAAAAAAGACGCCGGACGAACGCGATGGAGTCAATATTTCCGTTCAATGAAAGGTGGCAGCTCGCCACGATTAGATAAATTACTCGACAAGGACGAATTGAAAGTGGATTTAGATAGTTTTAGCCACGGTAAGTTAAGCTTGTTTCATTTCATTCTCTTTTTTTTCATTGGAATTCATTCCGACAAAATATGAAAAAGACAAAATTCGTAAGTAATATAAAATCGAGATAAATTCTTTTCAAAGCTAATCTTACTTCAAGCAAAAAAAAAAAAAAAACTCAGCACTCACCTGAGAACTATCGATTTTTATGATCGTTTTTCTAACATGTTCTCCCTTTTGTGAGTGCTTTCGTAATCGTGAATTAACTCTAAATAGAACTTGGTTTATAAAAAAGGATAGATAAAGTACATTGATGTTGAGAAATGCTGTTAAGAAATTGACAATGAAAAGAATTATTTTTAAAGTTTACGAATCTTTTTCGAAGAACTTTTCAAATATTTTAAAATAGAGTCTTTAAAGTGTATCAAGTTTTGTAAACACGTAAAAACTTTGCTATGCGGCAACAAAAGTTGAAAAGAAAGAAACAAGATAATATGTTTATTGAAAATGCGTCGGTGTTTTTTTTTTATTTCATCATACTATGAAAATTGAATTCTTTAATATATAAAAGCTTTATATACCATAACTCGACTCCTTCGAGCTCTTAGCCTTTCTTTACAAAAAATTTTTTTGATAAAAGTTCATATGAAATGATGTGCTACTTTTTAATGTTCATAGTCTATTACAAATTCCTTTTTCTCTATCATTTTAGATCTAAGTAATGATAGCTATAGTACGGTTACGATGGGCTTAGAAGATGGAACATCACCACAAAGTGGCGGTCGTGTCTCTTATTTGCATGGAAGTGGAAATACGCCGCCATATTTATCAAGCTATTCACCGCCGCCAATGGGATCAGGACACTCATTCAAATCATATCCAGACAATATTGTTTATACTTCAATCAATGGTTAGTACACATTCATAGAGTACAGATTCTCTTTTTTTTGTTTACATTGTTCATTGTGCAACGAATGAGAGAATTGCTTTGGTCGACATCATAAATTATTATCGATAGAATTTGGAATTTTAACCTGTCAGCCCATAACATAATGCATTATTAATCGACAAAACCTCAATTCGACGATTCATCAAAGATAATAAATATGCAAATTTTTATTTGCATTTCATTTTGAAATTCAAACAAAAAATTGTTTACTTTTTTTTTAAAACAAAAAAAAAATCGTCAACATTGCAAATGCTAATGTAGACTTTTTTATGTATTTTTGGCGTGCAATTTATTTGCTTCTTGGAAAATTCAACGAAAAAATCTATGTAGATTGAAAAGCTTTTTTATTTGTTACCATATGTTCAAATCACATTAACTAATTGCATTCTGACATGGCATTTCGTACTCTTGAATCATCTTCAAAGCTTTTTGATTTCGATTCACAGTGAATACAGAAGTAGATACTTATGTTTGCTTCAAATTTTTCATTCGATGAAGAAGAAAAAAATGTTTCCATGCGATAGCCCAAAGTGAATACAGCAAAATGTTTGTTCCACAAAAAGGTATTCTTTCAGATGAATAAGATTTGTGCCATGTGTAACAAGCTGAAACAAAATGCCACATCACAAAATAAAACATGTGAAGAGAAAGCGTGAGCAACAGCATGGCGTTGAAAAGAATAATCCATATTTTATAACGTTGAAATAAAAATTATATGAAAAATTGTCGTTTATTTATGTTTTTGCGTGAAATTCTATGCAGCCGAAGCGTATTCAAGCTTTTTATGTGAACCTTTGTTTTATCATCATCGTCAAATGAAAAGCGAAAATCGATATATAAGTTCAATGTGTTCAACAGAAAATGGGCTTCCGATCTTGTTCTCCTTTCTCTCTCTCTCTCTCTCTCTCTCTCTCTCTCTCTCTCTCTCTCTCTCTCTCTCTCTGTAAGTGTCTCTTTTTTCACTTAGCATATTACTATATGTATATGTTGAATTTCCATCGTAATATTTCGATGGATCGGAATACATAGAGTGTGCAAGAGATATTTACACAAGTCATCGTTGTTTCACGATAAAAAAAAACATACGGTACATAACGGTGCCAACATGTAAAATGAAAACGAACGTTGTACCAAAAAGGATACATTTGCCGAGTTATTCTGTATTTTTTTAAAAGACTGCCACGAATATTTTTATATTTATATGTGTGTGAAGTCGTCTATGAAAAATTGCATGCATTTTTCACTTAAAATCAGTCGCTTGTTGGGTTGTATACAGAGATCAGGGAAAAGAGTCTTTTACTAAAAAAAAAAGGAAAAATACAAAAGAGTGTGTATGTGTATGTTTCTATGTGAGTTTTCATAGTGCGCAATGGGCATGGGTCGTGAATTTGGTTTCCGTCATTGCATCGCGCTGTATGAAGTATATGTATTTTCCGCTCTACGTTTGAGTAGGGTGGAAAATTGATAACGACATCAACGTCGACGATACCGACAATACAACACAGAATACACAGTAACAACGGTTAAAGCAGGGTTGTTTACTCTTTACCGCCCACTTTTTGGAAAAATAAATTTTCCATCGTTTGGGTGGTGTATTTTCATTTTATTTTATTTCAATACATCATCCACCATTTTTTGCCCCCCGACAACTGACTCACGATACAACACAGTATTCGCTTACATAATACATTTCCAACCGAGACGAAAAAAAGGAGAGAGAGATAGAAAGCTTGTGTATTGAATTTGAAGGAATTGACCAAAGTAACGAAAGAAAAACATGAAGTGCCTTTTTACTCCTGATACAAATGTTCGAAACATGAACATATTATTACTCCCTGTCTGTTTGGTATAGTTTTGTTGTTAGCAAATGCATTGTCTATAAAACATGGCAATTTTTTTTTGTTTGCTTTCATTTCTCGGAATTGAATTCGTTTGGCTTACAGTTCGTAAGTAAATAAAAGTAACAACACCAGGAAATAGAGAATAGAATATCGTTTCATTGATATAGTGTATTATACATAAAATATTCACATTGTAAATGTTCATCACTTTCGTTGAATCCGCACTGAGAAGAGTGTGTGTGTGTGAGAGAGAGAGAGAATGGGCTAAAATAAAATGGCTACATTTCGAAATGACTATAAAATGAATACATTGTTGGTTCTACTGAATCTGCATCACATAAATTTAAATATATTACGATGTACGAATATGCCAACGAACCAAAGCTGAACACATCACATAGACAAAATAAGATAAATAAATTTCGTCTGGATGAAAACAAAACATACAACAACAAAAATCACATGTATCATTTGTAAAATACAACAC